AAGACAATACTGTTGCTTCTTGTGTTAGCAGTACTTTATCTGCCTTATCCTAGTATGAATATATGCTCGCAACTTAGTAATACTGCAGCAAGGGATCTTCAACTAGACTAAAGATTCATTCAGTTCAACTGGCATTGAGGCTGAGGTGAATCGAAGTTCTGTCTGGGTTTATACAGTTGTGTATCAACAAGACTACATTCTGAGAGATGTGCAGCAATCCCTAGAAGGTTTTTGTAATCTTGTAAATAACTTGCCCTCATTGACTAAGTACACTGTTAAGCAATATAATCCCGTGGGATCACACCATGCAAGCAATTCATTGACTCAAATATTGATGGAGGGTATATGACTATACATTGTAAAAGTATGGGACCAAGGACAATCCCAATGGACTGACTGCTAACAAAAAACCCAAGTATTGTTATCATATTCTGCAAGTTTTCAACCACATTTGCAAACCCAAATTTTACTTAGGACAGCCTTACTTTTAAATGTTGCCTCAATTTAAAAAAAGGAAAAGAAACACAACACTTTAAAAAACAAGTTAATGACTTCTCTATAGAAAATCTGCAAATGTTTTCTATTTACATTACCTTTCATATATGAAAATCAGTTAGCCAAACCACTAGCAAATTGAGTTTCAGGTAAAAGCATGGATTTCTAGGTGTAGGAGGCAAAACAAAGTAAAAAACTAAACAAACAAAAAAAAAAAAAAAACAGGAATCACTGTTCTTAGAGCCTTATTTTCATCTTTAATTCTGCTTCTTGTGGGGTTTTAGATAGAAATAGGAGCAGGATTTTCAAAGTAGCCTAGCCTTAGTTATGTTTTGTAAGAAGAATTCTGAAACAAAATCCAAAGAATTTAAGTGACTTAACTAAAATCTCAACTCTACATAAAAAGGTCATAAACCTTAACTTCAGAGAGATTGGGGTAACACAATTTGACCACATTAGACTGTTGGTCAAAAAACACAAAATACTATTTATTTCAGCGTTCATCACCTGATCAAGAGTTAAAAAAAAAAAAAAAACAAAAACCTGAGATGTTAAATACACATTTTCAAACCCAGGTAAGGAAGTTCACTCATTTTTCTTCAACTCACTTTAACACAGTTTCAGTGAGGTAAATGTCCTGCTATCTCACTTTTTGTTATCATGCAAAGTACATTTACATCAGGATAATTCCTCAAATATATTTTAGTCATTAAAAACCACCATCCTTCTAAATACATCTAAGTGTTTTGCCTACATTTATGTATGTGCACCATGAAGCCTGGTGGTAAAGGTCAAACTTCAGATCCTGGAACTGGATGGAATTAAGGACAGTTGTAAGCTGGTATGTGGGTTCTTGGAAACTCAAAACTAGATAGAGTCCTTCCAAGAGCTACCAAGTATACTTAGCTGCTGAGCCATTCTTCCAGCCTGCAAACTACCATTCTTCTAAGTAATGTCCAGAGACTTGGAGAACCCTTCCAATCATATTTTCCACCCTCCATATCATCATTTGACACCTAAAGATAGTATCTTAATTTTCCACTTACTTTTACTACAGGTAAACCAAAACAAGACCCAAAATGGGGAAGGGGTATGTGTACCAAACTCAAACTGTTTTACAGAGCCCTTCTTCAGGTAACTAGTTCACAATACTGATGACCACAACATGTATATAAGAGTATGTATGTGTATCTATGTCCACAGTAGCCTGTATATATTTATGTGTATAACTAAAACTCAGCTCTGAACTTTATACTGCTCATGCTCAGTTATTCATGAAGTTCAACCATGTAAATATTTAAGACATAGGACAGTTACTTTAAGAGACACTTATAAACAAGACAAGCATACCCTTTGCCCCCTTGAAGCCTAGATTTAGAAATGTAGAAAGTTACTTGCAAAAGTGAAAATTCATATACAGTTTGGGTTAACTGTTCTTTGTAGACTATACTGTAGGAACTCAAATAAAATTCATGCAAAATGTTACTTTAACAGAAAAGATGTGCATTTCTTCATCCTACAGAAAAATGAAGAGCTGGGGATGTGGTTTAGTAGTAGAGTACTTATCTGACACACACAGGGCACTTTGTTTCTCAACATCATCAAAAAAACAAAACCCGACAAACAAACAAAAAAAACCCACAAAATGATCAACTCTGATGTTTCAACTTTACTGTGTGGACAAATCGTCAACCTGGTAATTTGTCCAAGTATAGAGGACTCATTGATGAATTATAGGAACTAATGTGTTTATTACAAAGCCCAATAAATTAAGAATTCCTAAGACTCTCTTTAAAATTCATTCTGTGACTAAGACACAGGAGTTGCAATTTTCTGCCAACTGAGACTTTTTAATTAAGAACTTCTAAAATGTAGAATTTATTAAAAGCTTAACTTTTGATATGACTAAGGTTCTTATTTCTTATTAAATATATAATATGGTATTTAACATTCTCCATTTTCCTTGTTAAAATGTTACTTATTGAAGATTCTCGTTTTGCCTCTAATTGGCCGGTGTCTGACAATGGTCAAATGACACTGAACACCTCCCGCAGACTCCCAGCTGTTTGTACAGAATAGATAATCTGTATTGTAACTGTAAAAAGACTCACTGGAGCCAAGAAATTTAAATAAATCAGTTAGAAAAATTAAGTTTTTTGTTTTGTTTTTTTTTTTTTTGGTTTTTCGAGACCGGGTTTTTCTGTGTAGCTTTGCGCCTTTCCTGGAACTCACTTGGTAGCCCAGGCTGGCCTCGAACTCACAGGGATCCGCCTGGCTCTGCCTCCCGAGTGCTGAGATTAAAGGCGTGCGCCACCGCCGCCCGGCAAAAAATTAAGTTTTAAAAAACCATTTCCAATAATTCTAAGCACTGGTGACAAGTGATACCACTACTTCTCAACAATAAAGTGTTTGGACCTTATCTTCACTATTAAGTCCATTTCTAAAGCTAAATGATCATTACTTTTCTTCATTTTGCATTACTCCTTTCTAAGTTATGTTCACTTTAAGAGACAATACATGGACAATGGAGGATTTTTTTGCTTTTGTGTTTGGTTCACATTGCCTAATAACAGGGGAGCCACTGGAAGTCATATACTTCAAAGTCATAAATCTTATCCTGACAACCAAGGTTTGAATGAATCTTTAACTGTTGATAAAATGACCTTAAGATCTTCTTAAAACTGACTTTACTATAATAAAAAACTGGCTTCCTTTATTCACTAACAGAATTCTTTGTTCAGATTCCTTCAAGATGTCTCAGGAGCAATTCTAAGGTGTTAGTTGAAGGATAGAAAATAAAAATGCAAATAGTAGATGAAGAATTACTTAAGCCTTTAATCCCAGCACTCAGGGATCAGAGGCAGGTAGATCTCTGAGTTCAAGGCCAGTCTGGTCTACAGAGTCAGTTCCAGAACAACCAGCCGCTACAAAGAAACCCTGTCTCAAAAACAAAACAAGCACTGCTTATGACAAAAGCATTATCATAAATATATTCTCACTCATTCCACTTCCAAAGCCCATCTTTATCCTAAAGCAATTTATTGAAGCATACACTATTGACGCGTAGATCAGAAAAAAGAGAAAGTTTAATCTAATTGAACAAATCTCCATCCCAAATTAATGAGCCACACAGAGACTTGAGAAACACAGGGCAGCAATTGTGGTATATTTTCATTATACTATCACAAGACTGCCACGGTAGCCCAAGAGCTGAGAAATATCTCAAGGCAAAATCCAATCTAGACCACTCTCCAGCAAAGTACTGATCTGGAGCCTACACTGCCATCTGTGGTCTCAGGAAAGTCATTCTTTCAGAAGAAATGACATTTTATCAACTTAAGTTCTTCCATTTTACCAAGCCTCTTATAACCTACACCTAGGTATTCCTGGTTGTACGTTTTAAGAGTTATACACTGTACTTCTGGCTTTGGGCTGTATGGGGGAGGGGGGCGTGTTACTGTTTCCTAGCATCTTCCTTTCTAAAGTGAGTGCCTGAGGAATTACATATTTGCTTATCTAGGAGAGAGCGGTTAGAAGTTACTTCCAGCTATTTCTCGAAATTAATAACCCACCCGTTATCATTTTTTAAAGGAGCCTCCTCACTAGCCTATCAACGCTCACTATGACATTATTTTCGAAAAAGTCAACCAGAGAGAGAGAGAGAGAGAGTTCAGAAAATACGCATTACAGCCGCATAATCCTACCAGGAAACAAGCCCGGTGGAGGTGGGAGGGGGGGAGGCAACTCCGAGCAGGCCCTCTCCCGCAACCGCTCCCGGGACGACACCAGGGTGAAGTCCGGAGCGAAGTCGGGGGCCGAAGCCAAGCCCAGGCCAAGGTGTTCGGCCCCATGGAGACGAGGACGCCAGGCCAGGCCAGGCCTCCCAGGGAGCGGGTCCCTGCGCGACCGCCCGCTCGCCCGCCCGCCCGCCGCGA